TGCACAGTGGACATGTATTTTTTGTTATGAAATATGCAATGTTCCCCTACTTCTTCCTGCTTACATCTCGAATATCTGTCGGTAGACTACATTCTGCGTGTACGCTCCGTCGTCTTCCACGTGCTCGGGATACTCGATCATCACCTTGAGTCTCGACCGCGCCGTCACTCTCGACAGCGCCACATACAGCTGTCCGTGGGAAAAGCAAGGACTTGACAGATACAACCCCAAATTCTGCACCGTTTGTCCTTGGGCCTTGTTGATCATGGCAAACGCTGGTTGCACCGGAAACTGCTTACGGCGTAGACGGAAAGGGAACTCACGCGTGTCCCCGTCACTGAGGAACACAATCCGCGGAATGAACACATCTTGGCCATGGCGCTCACCTGTCATGATAGTCGCGTGGATCACATGCGGTTTCAGCTCAACAACACGAAGGCGCGTTTCGTTGCACAGTCCTAGGTTGGGGTTCAAGTTCCGCATCATCATGATCGAGGCACCTTTCTTCAGCGTTAACTTGTGCGGCGGGATTCCGTTCATGTTCACTGAATGCAGGAGTTCTGGCTCGAAGAAGTCCGCGTCACCGCCGTTATCCACAGAATCATTGGACAGGTACTCTTGGCCTCTCCTTCCAGCTTCTGCGAGACAACCTCGTTGATGCGATGGACCATCATGTTCGTCGTCGTCAAAATCGTGCGGCTGGCAAAGTACTCGTCCGTGGCGATCTCTGGGTTGTTGATGTCTGCATACATCTCTTCAATGATATGCCGTAAGCCCCTGGGAGTGGCGCCAGGCCGAATCTCTTCGTCTCCTTCCGGTTCCTCATCTGGCTTGTTCTCAATCAACATGTCGTTCGGAATCTTCATGGAGTCTGCCCTCAACTCCGGATTGACTTCGTGTCTCCCTTCACCAACTTGAAGATGGAAGTCGGAGAAGGCTGTAAGTTCCTCCGCCGTGGTTTCGTTTGCAGCAGATCTCACTCGCATATTCTCTGTGAGATGAAGTTGTTCGAACTTGCTCCACAACTCCGACGATTTAAGACACGCATTGATGGTGTCCGCAGGCGTCCCCTGCACCACCACCGGAAGAATCTGTCTGAAATCACCCGAAAGCAGCATTACTTTTCCTCCAAAAGGTTCATCGTTGTCCAGGATATCACGTAGCGAACGGTCCACTGCCTCGAATGCATGGCGATGGGTCATCGGAGCTTCGTCCCAGATGATCAAGATAAGTGCCTTCAGTGGGGAACGCTTGTTGATTGAACACGTCGACTCCGCGTTCAACTTCAGCGGGATCCGGAAGGTAGAATGCGCCGTCCGGCCTCCCATTAACAGAAGTGCCGCAATTCCACTTGACGCAACCGCAATGGCAATTTTTCCAGTCAAACGCACTTTAGCGAGGATATGTTTGAGCAAAGTCGATTTCCCTGTACCTCCAGGAACGTTCACAAAAAACAACTTGTTGCCGTCCGAAGATCCATCGACGGCCGCCATGACTTTCGCGAAAATAGCTTGTTGGCCATCATTGAGTTCATCTTCATGCGCCACAATGTCCTGGAGCATGTGGTAGTCATAAGCCACGCTCTCGCGTTCAATGAGACTGTTATCGGCCTGTAGTGCTTCCCGAAGAAGTAGATCCGGGAACTGGTCAAGTTGCGGCAGATCAAACTCAGCTACCGCTTTTCCGCTTACTTGAAGCAACTCGTTCAGACTCTTGAGTGTGTTAAACATCACCAAGTTGTCCTTCGCCTGACCTTCCATGGCGCGAAATCGGCGGTTGAAGTCCTCGGACAGTGCTTCGTAGAACTCATCCCATAGCCGACGCACCTGCGCAACCTGAGAGTACACCAAAAGCGCAGCGAAAAGCTGACGCAATTGATACGCCATCTGGAATGTCGCGGCCTCCTCCATACAGGCTGCCCACTCTTCGTCGTTCTCGAGATATCCCAAGCGTACCGCCGCGTCCTTGTACGATCCACAGACGACGCCATCCACAGTCCGAAGGTCCACAAAGGAAGTAGGCCCTTTGCGGTGACACAACAACACGCGCAAGTAGAACCTCTCTTCATCGCTTGGAGACACGTGTACCATGCGTCCTAGCGCTGCTTGGTACTTTTTGCGACGGACCCATATCTTGTGTTTGTCCCACCGGAAGTACTTTGGGATATCCTGGTACACAATTGTCTTGGCTACCTGGTCCTCGGGGGCTTCGCTCGCGCATACCTCAAAGAAGGCGGTAAGCTTCGTGCGCTCATTACGGTCAATAACGCGTTCCGGGTCATCTGTTTCCCGGAAAATCACCATCTGCTGACCTTCGAGGTGCACCGCAAGGAGAAACACCGCATGGGTCTTTCCCTGAACGACGTGTCCAAGGAGACGCATGCACGCCTCAATTGGCGAGATGTACCTCGCGGTTACGTACCGAATGATTTCGTTGGGCTCCTGCCTGTTGATAGCAGCCTCACCTGGCACCACCTCTACTGTAATCACTGCCCTGTCGGATCCCTTGTAGACGTACTTGTACAGATACTTCACCACCGAGAGCGTCGTGGATATTTCAATGTTGATGTGGCAATTGTACTTCTGTGAAAAATAGGGATTGTACGGTACCACCCATTGATTCACCGTTGCGTTGTCGTACTCTTTCCCTTTGAAGATAAGAACTCCTTCTGGTCGACGTCGGCGTCTGTATTGCGGGAATCCGTCATCACTGACCCGCGTCGTTACCGCGAACGGTTTCGGGAAGCCCTTTGTACACTTGCCGTCCTTCATACAGACACATGATGGGTTTGCTACACCACAGGGTCCATGCAGCATAGACGACATGACAGTTTCATAAAGACCCGGGTTAGTCTCAGGATCCGGTATTTCTGCAGACACCATTTTGTCAATGATCTGCCTAGTGCGGGGTTTGTCCTCGTCAGCCAATATGACTAAGATGTGAGCGTGTGGAAGTCCTCGCTTTTGAAACTCCACAACGTAAATTCCCAGCGGCAACCCGTCCAAGCACACCCTCGTCCAGGTCTTTTAAATGAGCAGCCAGCTTCTGCTGCCATACTCTCGCGACGATATCTGGGCGATCTTGGGCACTCTGGTTTGGATCGGTAATCTTCTCCTTGATCTCTTCTCACGTAGGATTGCAAGTCATCGTATCGAAAATGTCAGGCTTGCCGTATTCCCTAACGATAGCCATGGAGTCTTGGTACGATTGGTACATCTGGCGCGGACTTCCGGAGTGCGAAGACGGTAGGATGACTTTCTTCCCAATCTGATTGAGGAAGTGCTTGTTCCTAGCTCGGTCTGGATGAGCCAGCTCTCCAGTGTCACGATCATATTCCGCCAGAAGGCCTTCGCCATCACCCAAGATAGTCCTAGCCTCTTCCATAGCTTCATGGAGATACGCGTCTCGTAGGCCATTGTATTGATAAGCACGAATCTCCTTCTGGTGAGTTGCAATCCAGCGAAGATCTTCTTGTTCGCACTTGGCTCTCTGGTCCACACAGTACTGCTGAAAGAGACGTCCTCCTTGATGAAGGGCGGCTTGGTCGTCCTCCTTCTGGAATAGTCGATATGCCACGTGCTCACAAAGTGCCATAGCTCGTTTGTTCTGCGCACCACATCGCCTTCGTATGTATCCGTGTATGTCCACCCCAGTTCTCCATATGGAAGAAGTAATGGGTATTAA